GATCAGACTACTTCATCTTTATCCCATTGAGCGGATGGATGGTGGGTTCAAAACACTAACGTTTCATTTAGCTGCCAAATGTTAATCACAGCTCCATCAGGAGTCCCCAGTGACCCTATTTAAAAAACAAAAACGAAAAACCATCACAGCCAGCGAATTGAATCTGACTCATAGCGGTCCTGTAGGGCAGAGTAGAACTGCTTCAGACAACTTTACCGTTCTCCCGCAAGCGAGCCAACATTGAGTCATCTGACTCCTAGCGACCTGGTATAGAGTCTCCGAGGAGCAACTGGTGGGTTTGAACTGCCAATCCTGTATCCTACACAGCAGGACTCCAGCAGATCCTATGTTGCTGTTAACTGCCATAGAGTCCGTTCGACCCATATAGTGCCCTATACATGCCCCTTATTCTGCCACCAGCCAGCTGCACTGCGGCCCCTATTCTCAGCATCAATTCTGTCATACTGCTTTCTTTCCCCAATTTGCTGTAAGGACTCTTCTTTGACACCCCTCACCACTTCTAACAGAAGCTCTGGTAGCGTAGTGGTTACGAATTGGCTGCTAACCTCAAATTCAGCAGTTCTGCTCCCGTAAAGATTTACAGCCTCGGAAACCCTGTGCAGGGTCACTATGAGTCGGAACCGACTCCACGGTACTTAACAACAACAACCAATTCTAACACTGATTTAACTGCTACCCACCCGCCCCCCCCCCAAATCACTGGTCAACAAATCCAGTTAATCCAACGAATCCCCCACTCACTAATCCCTCAGGATTAGCTAGTCCTTCAAACCCTCACATGAGTCACTAGGTAGCATGGTTTCTTTACACCCACTGCAATGACTGCCCGAGGAGCCTGAGGTCGTTCCTCACACCCGCCTTTGTAGGCTCACTTCCCCACACTAGCCGCCCCTGACCACGGTGGATATCGCTCCCACCGCTGCTCACGCGGATCTCTGTGTCCTGACTGTTGCTCTACTGACTCCACTCCCACACTTCGCTCAGTCACAGCTCCCCATGGTTGACGTGATCCCCGCTCTTCCTCACGTAGACCCTCACACACTCATCTACTCTCTCGTTGAACCCCTCCTCCGCCTTCTCCTCCCACAGCTCCGGGTCACGAATACCGCCCCAAATCGACTCCACAGCAATGGGCTTTGGTAGCCCGACTTTGCCCGCCCCCGCCTTCTCCGCCTCACTCTCCCTACGTTGACATTGAGGCCTCTCCGCTAGGCCACTTTCCAAAGCAGTCCCTACCTCAAACTAACTCGGGTTCTCCGCACTAACCGAGCCCCCTCCACCAAGCCCACCTCCTCAGATACCGCCCCCGGCCCCAGCCACTCCCCCACCGCCCCCGGCCCTCACTCACCCGCCTCTTTCTGCTTGCGCAGCCTAACCTGCCGGCAGCGACACCTGACAGCGACCCAATCAAAATGCGACTTCCCTGCGATGCTACCAATCAGCAGAGGGCGCGCACCGGCAACAGAATCAGGCTGCGTTGGCCGGTGCCTCCGTGCGGAGGAGGGCAGCCCCTACTGGTTCTGAGGAAAAAGTGCAATCTGATACTCCCCTTCCTCTGATTTCTTACTGCGTCGCCACAGCTCAGATGCTTGGGCTAGACACTGACGTTCCAGGGAGACAAACAGGGAGGGAAAGGCGAGATGCAGAGGAAGAGCTAGTGTCATTGCACCGTCTTAAGGGCAAAAGTAGTTTGTAAAACAAAATGGGGTCTGATACACGTAAAGACCCAATCTTAACAATGAGAATGTTAACTACTGTAAAGAGGAGTGGTAGGGAGACGGGTGAGAAAAATAGAAATAGTAAATTAAAGAAAGGAATAGAGAGGCTTGTGAGTATTTAGAAGGAGATAAGAAAATGAATGGACATAGAAGACGGGACAAGTTGATTCCTATCTCCACACCCACACCTTGCTTGTTCTCTACCCTCCAGATTTAGTGCCAGATAAACCTGATGTAAGAATGGAATTAAAAACCTAACTCATAGGGTACTGATTACATGAAAGCATTTTGAATATGTTTATATTGTTCTTGCTAGTGTCCTCAGATCCTCACTTGCTCAGGACACGTGTCACTGAGCCCCAAGTTCAGTTTCTTTGCAGTCTTAAGGATCTTACCACTTTTTGGTCTGGTGTCTCATTATTCTGAGCTCCAAGGCCTGCTGAAGACAGATGAACCTAACAACTGGCCCTAAGGGGATTAGATGCCTCCCTAATTCTTATTCAAGTTCATGCCCCCCTCCAGCAATCCTATCATTCAACATATTATTACATTATCTTCCAGGTAATTAACTCTTCTTCTCATTCCTCAGGAGTCATAGTGGCGCAGTAGGCTAAGCTTGGACTGCTTAACTGCAAGTTCCAAATTTTAAACCCATCAGCTGCTTTGAGGGAGAAAATGAGGCTGTCTGCCCTCATAAAGATTTACAGTCTTGGAAGCCAAGAAGCCATTCTACTCTGTCCTGTAGGATTGCTATAAATTGAAATCAATGAGATGACAGTGGTTGGTTCATTCCCCAAAAAGGTAGACTGAATTCCTAGTCATGAGCTGGAATAGTTCAATTCAATGCAGTGAAATACTATAAAGAAAAGCTCTCTCTAATTGTAAATCAAATGCCAGATGTATTACTTCTGTATGTTGTAGGATAATTATTATTTTTATTGATTGCTGTTACAGTATGTGCCTGTCAGAGGTTCAAAGTCTAAAAGGGAATTTGAAAAAATGTTCCTTAGTGGAGCTAGTATTCAAATTTTGGCAGCTACTCTCCAAATCTAAATAATTTCTCTATTTCTCGTTGTTGTTAAGTGCTGCCAAGTCAGTTCCAACTCATAATGACCCTGTGTAGGATTTTTGAGGAGCAGCTGGTGGGTTTGAACAGCTAACCTTGTGGTTAACAGCCCACTGCTTATCTTACAGTGCCACACCAGGAGTCCTATTTCTCTAAGCAAGTCTTATTTCTCTTAAATATGCTCCCTTCCCATCCCCCATCACATTAATCTTAGTGGTTACCCTCTTAATCAAGTAACAGCTGTACTTCTCTGGAAGATTATCTGCTTCCTTTATCTGGCTATACCAATCCAAGTAATTACTTTCACTTACTCACAGTTACTCCTTCACGTAGATAATAAGCCCTCACAGCAAAGGTAACATTTGCTACTTTTCCAAGAGTGAAGACATTCCATATAGAACTCTACCTAGTCACTGGTCAGTACTCTCTTACCAGAGGGTTTAGTTAAGTGCTGGACCCAGAACAAAGACAGATGTCTTTTAAGGAGACACACAAGTGAATGTAGAGGTAGGAAAAGGAACACAAGATGAGTTTGAAAAGAATGAAGGAAATGAGAATATAGGGACTGGGCTGTGTGTGTCTTATTAGTGGGGTCAAAGGACTACATGAAGGGAATTCCTTTTTCTTAAATACTCTCTCTTCAGATTTCCAAGTACCTTACTGTCTGTGGCTATACCAGGAGAGCTGAGAGAAGGGACTAAGGTCCACCCCACCTTAACTCATGCTCCGTACACGTACACTTCTAGTTCAGCTCTAGCATTCACTCCTTCCTGCCAGGATAAAGTCACAGGCAAGTCGTACTTGGAGCTGTATGGACAAAGCAAAACCATTACCATGGAGTCAGTTTTGACTCACAGCAACCCAGTATAGGGTTTCCGAGATTGTAAATCTTTATGGGAGCAGACAGTCTCATCTGCCTCCTGCAGAACAGCTGGTGGATTTGAACAGTCAACCTTGCAGTTAGCAGTTCAGTGTTTATCCTACAGTACCACCAGGGCTCCATTGTATGGACAAAGCCCTCTCAAATCTGAATATACACCTAGTGAGGGGAGAGGGAAGGAAAGAGATAAGAGGAAGGTGGAGATTCCCTGGTGACGTTATGCCCTTGGACACCCTTTGCCTTAAACTCTGGATTAAACATTAAGGAGCCAAGAAAGGGAAGATTGTGGCGCCTGGAGACCTGTGCCTACCTGTTCCATTCCCACACCCAGTCATCTCACCACACCCTTCACCTCACCTTATACTTTCCTCAGCCCAGGAACTGAGAACCATAGAAAGGGGGAAAAAAGGGAGGGGAAGAAGAAGTCCTTGCCCAACCCAAGTCCCACGCCCAATACAATCAACAGGTAAGCAGGCTTGCAGAGAATACTCAGAGGGAGTCCTGCGACTGAGCGGCAAACAGGTCTGAGCCTGGAAAAGACGTCAAAAAGAAGTAAAAGATCAAAGGTGAGGTAGGAATAGGTTAAAGTGTGAAGGAAGAAAACAAAAGTGGGGGGACCATGAAGGATGGAGGCAGGAAATAGCTGAACTTGGAGCAGAGTAGGTGGTGGGGTAAGGGTGGATGAGGGACAAAGCACCGATGGGGTAAGAGTTTATGTTTGTCGGTTCCTCTTAGGGAACCCTTCCCCAACCTTTTAAAAGGAGAGCACCGTGTGGCAAGTAGGCTCCTTGGTCCTCTTCCTGGTTCTAAGGGAAAGGTGACCTTGAGCCAGCGGGTGTCGTTCCCAGCGTCTGCCTCTAACCCTGTGCTTTCTCAATACCTCCCTCTAGTCTCAGTGTTTATTCCGCGGTTTCCGCGCGTCTGCCTCCCCTGGGAAGAGAGAGGGGTTGCCGGGGCAGGCTGCAAAGAGAGAAGCAGTTGGGCAATGACACTCTTTTACACCCACAGAGTAGATGACTCGGGTTTCCAATTAAACTGAGACCTTGGGGGAAGGGTGCCCCCTTAGGTGCTGTCCTCCACTTGGTGCTGAAATCCGGGCGATCACATCGTAGGTGGACCCCGGGCATCCTTGGCCTCGGGGTGCGCTCGGAGTCCCCTCAGTCACCTGGCGGGAGCTGCCCATCCCTCCCCCGCACACCTACCGCGGTGGCAGGCGGAAGGCGGAGCCTGCGTGAGCTCCACCCCTGGGGACTGCGGCTCTGGCCTCCCGCTCCTCCGCCCGCCTGCCAGCCGCTAGCTCATTGCGCCTCTCTTGCAGTCTGGTTGGTACCGGCTCCCACTCCGGATACAGCTTCTTCTCCAGCCCCCATTTCGGCTTTCGCGTCAGAACTGTTCCGGTCCTTGGCCCGCCGGGTTGCATCCTCCATCCCCATTTCTGACCTGCGCCAACTCCTGCTACCGGATCACGGTAGCCGGACCCTCAAGGCATGGCTGGTCCCTTCTCCCGCCTGCTGTCCGCCCGCCCTGGGCTCAAGCTCATAGCTTTGGCCGGGGCTGGATCTCTAGCCGCTGGGTTTCTGCTTCGCCCGGAACCTGTGCGAGCCACCAGTGAACGACGGAGGCTGTATCCCCCGAGGTATCAGTGTCAGAGGCGCGAGGGTGCGGGTGGTGGTGATGGGAATGATGCGGCGGCTGAAAATGAGGAGTGGGACAACAGAGAAAGGCAACAATCACAAAGGCCCTGTAACTTAGAGACTGTAGTCTGGAGATCTCAGTGAGATGAGGATGAGGGCCAAAACAACAATGCAAAAGCATCCTTGAGAACCTGTAACCGGCAGATCCCGCCCCCAAGACCAGTTACAGTCCTTTGAGTTCTGGCTGCACATACTTTGCTCAAATTCCTAATTGGGAGATCAGGAACTATCTTGTTTGTTCTCCTCCATCTCCCTTTGCTGCTTGTTCTCCCCCATTTCCTGTATTCTCCTGCTTAGTGTTTCTCCTCCCCCAACCCTAATGTTGTGTTCATGGGAGGAAACAACTCAGCAGATCAGAGAATTGAGCCAGCCAGCCAGAGGCAGCTAGAACTATTGGGAAAGGATAGATAGACCCTGGAGGCTATAAAGAGATTACCACTGCTTAGCCTTCCTCTAACCCTCCCTCCTGGCAACAGGACAGCTCCCAGCAGACTGCACTGAGTATAGGCCCCTGTGTCCTCCCTCCATGGTTATTGGGTACCCCCTCTCTAGCGCTGAGTACCCAGATCTCCGAAAGCACAACAACTGCATGGCCAGTCACCTGACCCCGGCAGTCTATGCCCGGCTCTGCGACAAGACCACACCCACTGGTTGGACGCTAGATCAGTGTATACAGACTGGCGTGGACAACCCTGGCCACCCCTTCATCAAGACTGTGGGCATGGTGGCTGGAGATGAGGAGACCTATGAGGTAGGGGGTCTCCAGAGTCTCCCTGGTGACCCAATTATCTTCCCAATGACCCCAGATCCTTTCCCTACAAAGACCCTTTA